AGCCGATGGTTGTAAAAACCGCCGGGATTTAAATTCCCGAAGAAATGGGGAAAACCTTTCCCAGGTGAGAATGTGAGAGATGGGCGGAACCATAGATATGTAAGGACGGTGTAATTCAACTTTGGCAAAGACACTGCTATTGAAGAACAATGCAGTGCCAATCGTATTTGGCCCTACTGCAAACCTGCCAGTAAACACTGCAACTCATTACACATGCAACGAAAGCCTGTTCAATTTAAAAGGTCAGAAAGAGGGTAGAAAACAGTCACGTACAGCTAAATTACAACTGTTTTTGGTGCAAGAAATATTATAAATGGACAAAGGAAAAACATCACAAACAGCCCATTTAAGAAATAAAACAATTACAGTTGTCTGACATGTACAGTAAGCACTCAATACAAATTTATGGGAACAGAGAAGTGTTTCACCTCAATGGAATCCTGTTTTAGCACTTTGCTATCCACTTCTAACAGCGAGCAGAAACCTGCTGTCTAATTATCACTTCTGAAAATAGCCACAATTTGCACTTTTTTTTTTTTTAAATTAGAGATGTTCGTATAACAAACTAAAATGCAATTAATAATTAACATCTCATCATAATGAGCCTCAGTGTATTGGGAGCCAACAAAGCATAAACTATCACTTTAATGGTGATCTTGTCACACTCTCACCACTCAAATTTATGATAATGACTAATCTTTATCATAAAATGAGCAAAAGAGACTTTTCAAAATCTGTAAAAAAAAAACAAACAAAAAAAAACTTAATTTTGAACTTTTGGCCAGCAGTATGTATGTGTACATATTTGATATATTATACATTTTGAATGGTCAATTCAATAATAAAAAAAATGTAAATGGAAAAAGATGGACTATATAGACCAGGGGTCCTCAACTCTAGACCTTGAGATCCACTTTCCTGCAGAGATTAGCTCTAACCTGGATTAAACACCTACCTGCAACTTTGTAGTGATCCTGAAGACCTTGATTAGCTTGTTCAGGTGTGTTTATTTTAGGGTTGGAGCTAAACTCTACAGGAAAGTGGATCTCGAGGTCCAGAGTTGAGACTAACAGCCTATGCTAACCAGCTTAACTAACTGCTTGGACAAGCCCTCTGGAGCAAACCAGGGTTAAATGCATTACCCCAGAGCACAAACGCGATGTAACCAATGTGATCTAGGTAACAATGTAGTCAGTGGGTCATCAGCGATCAACCGTTATGCATGCAGCTCTGTGGTTCATCTCAGTGCGTTAATGCAATGACACAACAGGATGGAAGAGAAGACGACGACCATACATTAGTAATGAATCAAAGTGTGTGCTGAACCCAAATGGGCCTTTAATGCACATGGCAGCCAAGCACTGGCTGATCCCATGGCTGCCAGAACTTTCACATGCTGTCAATTATTAACTGATCTATGTTAATGGACACACTCTGCACTGGGATCAGATGGGTGTGTAGTGTTGCTGAGAGCATGTAAAAACTTTTATCATTACTTAGCCTCTCAATACCTTTCCCCCCCCACCCCACACACACACAGATATTAGAGCTCGAAGTTGCACGAGGCCCATCAGTTGGCATAAAAGGAAAAACTTGGTCTTGCACTGTAAAGTATTACATATTTACTGTTCAAAAGTTCGGGGACTTTTTTTTTTCTTTTATTTTTTTTTAAATACGAAAATGTATTAGGCAAGGATGTATTAAAATGATCAAAAGTCACAGTTAATATATGCTGTTCGTCTGAATTTTCTATTCATCAAAGAGTCCTGAAAAAAAGTATCACTTTTCCACTAAAAATTAAGTAGCACAACTGTTTTCAACATTTATTATAAGAAATGCTTCTTTAGCACCAAAACAGCATATTAAAAGAATTTCTGAAAAATCATGTAAGACTGAAGACTGAAAATTCAGCTTTGCATCACAGGAATAAATTACCATTTAAAATTTATTAAATTAGAAAAGTTATTTTAAATGTTAATAATATTTCCCAACATTACTGTAATTACCATTTCAAATGAATGCAGCCTCTGTGCGTATGAGATTTTGATCTCAAAAACAAATTCTTAGCGACCCCAACATTTTGTTTATAAATGTAAACAAACATCCTTAAAATAAGATACATTAAGATTAAGAATTGTTTTCAGACAATGTATAGCTGACATTTGCACATATTTTTTCCCCGTTTTAAATCTAATTAAACAAAATAGCAAATAAAAAGCAAATCAATAATTATTTAAGTTTATACTTTAAAAAAACAAAAAAAACTAAACAACAACAAAAAGTAAGTAAAGACAATGTACCAGTGGGTAAAG